GGCACATGCCCGTCGCTTTGCGTTCTACACCTTGTCACCTCCGAGACACGCGCGCATCTTTCTCCGTGGGTGCGCATGCCTTCCTTTGTTTTCAAAGATAAGTGCCAGATAGGGAGCATTCATGGGCGCGTGTCTAAACATGGAGACGCGCGCACAAGAAGGCTCCCTAACTTGCCTTGATGCTCTCGTTCGCCTTCGCTGCACGGATTGAGACTCTTTAACGCAGTGCTTCCAGAATACAATTCGCCCATATTCTCTCGCAGAACAAAACATAAACGTTTTGTTCACTTTCTTCCCACGCAAGAATATCGTCTTTCGACAATATTTGCAGTGAAACATGCAGATACGGGCCTAATTTTTTTCTTTTACCCACTCTGCCCTCATCTTGTCGTTTAAGGTTACACGCATTATTTTGTTATTTCATCCTATCATATTGTTATTAGATAGATCTCCCCCTTATCTTGTTGTTACAATTATCAACATGAAGTTACATATCAGATTGTTAGCCCAGACTGGAACATCCTCTTGAAAGTTTGCACAGTTGTCGAAACACCTTTCGTACCTCTCCCCTAACCATGCAAATCGCATTCTTAACGCGTAAAAGTTTGTCGTAGCGTAAACTGCAGTAACCCATAAAGGTGTCAACGGATAATGTCAAGCTAATCTTTATTAGGCAATAAAAGTGGGGCTGTCGTTACCTACCAGGTGTCGCTTAGGTGTAAAAAAAACACGAATTCGTCCGGCGCTGGCCAGCATACAGAAATGCAGCCCACGAAAATGAACCAATCAAATGCGCTTTTATAATGCCGATTTGGTAAAATTTAAATAAGCTGCTTGCATCTTCCCACGGGAGCAACTCGAATAAATGCGTCGCAGAGTGGTTGGGACATGGAGTTTCATACAATAATACCTAAACAGGAATCTTGCGATAGTGTCTATACGCGGGCTCCTTCAGCGGCGCTTGGGCCCCCACAAAAACTACGGGACTGGCTTCAGATCTGTGTCCGATGGATTGTGTTTTTGAGATTCGCGACACTTGTTTGCCGAGTGCAAAACAAAACGATATTATGTCATATTTAAGTATTACTTCCTTTGTTATTTTTATACAAAGTTTATTGCAAAACGTTTTTGTGGCTATGCGGTACAAGTGAAACTTGAACAAATGTACCCACCAGTGTATGCATTGCTGTGTCACTGCGTTCCAGATTCAGGATCAAGAATAACGAAATATTAACGTGATAGCGTTAGAGAGCTCGTGTCGCAGAAATTTCGCCATCAGCGTCGGCTCCGTTGGTTGTGAGCGAAAAGTCGTCGGTCAGAGAAAAATTGAGAAAGAAGGAAAAATTTACGGTCCTATTGAGGATCGAACCCGGGCCGTTCGCGTGAAAAGCAGGTGTCCTAAAACAAAGCCACTATGTTATTTGCAGCTTATTAGGGAAAAACACTCAATATATGCCATATAGTGGAAGGAGTCTCCTTAACGTACTTTGTTCGACAGGTGTCACGACAAAAACAAGCCCGTTCGGCGATATGTAGGCGCATTTGGGAGGCCTCAAACTACGTCGGACAAGGCCAAGTTAGAGCAGCCATCACCGCTAAACACAAACAGGAACTTTCAAACAGCTCTAAAAATGAACAATTATGTCCACCTTGCGGAAAACATATCATGCCTTTCCAGAGGTGTCGATCAAGCAAGCAGCAAACAATAGATAATGTGCTGTCATTCGTGAGGCCTCGCAAGACTCTTTATGGCACGCGCGTGGCGTTTCTCTTGGTTGCCGTGCGACTCTTGCTTTAGATAAAAAACCTGTATGTATCATTCGCACGTGCACGCTGGTAGAATCTACTGTGTGCGTGCGTGCGTGCGTGTGTGTGTGTGTGTGTGTGTGCGTGTGTGTGTGTGTGTGCGTGTGCGTGTGCATGCGTGCGTGTATGCGTGTGTGTGTGTGTGTGTGCGTGTGCATGTGTGCGTGTGTGCGCGTGTGCGTGTGTGTGCGTGTGTGCGTGTGCATGTGTGCGTGTGTGCGTGTGTGTGCGTGTGCGTGTGCATGTGCGTGCGTCTGTGCGTGTGTGTGTGTGTGTGCGTGTGTGTGTGTGTGTGTGTGTGTGTGTGTGTAAAAAACATACAAATAAATATGCACTCAGTGGTTCAAGGGCGACCTAGGGGCCGGATTTCGCTACCACGTTCAACTCTTAAATGCGAAGCTTAAGGGTCCCCCACTTTTTTTTGAAACATTTGACGACAAACATGCTTGTGTTTCGCTCTAAAGTACGCATTTGTAAATTAAAGTACGCATTTTCATAGCACTGCATTATAAAGTAAGAAACACTCAGCGTTTCATCTGCTTCAATGCCAGGTGCGTCTATCTAAGTGATCTGGTCTCAAAGCACCTGTCGTTTTGTTTTGATATACTAGGTAGCTGCTCATTAAGTAGCAATATAGTCCTACAATATCTCAGTAACCTACATTTGCCTATTATAAGCACAATCGAAGCATTTTCGAAGTGTAGCGTGCTTTCGGTCAATGCAAGAACAATACAGACGCTATTTTAGTCAATTCTTGTGTACGGTGGATTAATAACAGTGTTCTTTTGTTTAACCTGTACCCAAACAACCTGTATTTTCTCATCACGTATTTCGTATGGTCTTAGGGCGCAATCAAGTTGCATTACGATGTCCACAAATCTGCCACTGAAATCTGTGGGAAGAGAGCAAAAAAAAAATTTGCAGATCCCACATTCAGTGGGAATCGATGATATGCGAAGCACGAATGAGAAATGTTCATATGTCACTTTAAAATCATCACAACGTTATGAGGTACCGGTAAATGATGCCGGCCATGACTCCCGTATCATGATTATCAAGTTTGGATATGTCGTTTACCTTTGTCATCTATTTACGTCACGTGATACCAAATTTAATAAATGTGGAGCTAGCAAAGTGGCGACGAGCACGCCATGAGCGTGGTATGTTGTCCTGTTTCTATATAAAACGTGTGTCAGGATGATCATGTTTGCATCAGTCATATATTTCGTCATCCGTTGACGTCACGTAACATCAAATTTGGTATATATGTACCTAGTAAAACAGTCGCGAGCGCATCATGAAGGGCCCGATAAACTCCAATGTAGCGTTACGCGCCCGCACGCTGGGCACAGCGACGCTACGTTAGCAAAAGGCGAGCACTCTACAGTCTGACGCAAGGCGCGACCAGCGTCCATCAGCGTGGCCCGACAGCAACCAGTGCGGAATGCGACATGCTCCATTTCACGCCGATGCGTTACCCAGACAACACTGCGTCTTCCTCTTCGTGGCGAAGGGACGCCGGACGCGCTGAAACGTGCATGCGTCAAAGCAGCGCAGCGTGGCGCGTGCTGCGAGTATATGGCAGGACCGGTGCCTGGCGTGGCAACACCGGCGTGACGCGACGAACGCAACGCCAGTGAGCGCGCACACTGCGTCACCTCGAAATGTATTGGTGCCTTGACTGTGGCATGTAGTCATGTTCTCACATGACACGCTTCTCATGATTATAATGTTTGCACTAGTCACATGCCTTCATCACCCAATGGCGTCACGTAATACCAAATTTGGCATATGTGAAGCTAGTGAAACGGCCACAAGTGCATTATCAGTGTGACATGTAATCATGTTGTTAAATGACGCACATGTCGTGATTATTATGTTTGGATGTGTCATTTACCTACGTTGTCCGTGGGGTCGCGTAATACCGAATTTGTACTTGTGAAGCTAGCAAAACGGCCGTAAGCGTATCGTGAGCGTAGCATGTAGTAATTTTGTTCCATGACACGCATCTCAAGTTTATCAGGTTTGCACCAGTATCATACCTTCGTCATCCATTCACGCTGCGTAATACCACATTTGGTGTAAGTGAAGCCAGCGAAACGACCGTCAATGAAGCATGAGTGCGGCATGTAGTCATGTTGTTACATTACACGCATGTCATGATTTTCCTGTTATGGTCTGTCGCTTGTATTCGCCATGCAATCATGCCATAGCATACCATTTTTGCAGCATGATATGTGAACGAAACCACCGCAAGAGCTGCAGGACCATGAAATGTAAATCATGACATTCACGACATACATGTTATGATGGTGATGTTATGACTAATGAAATATGTTGTTCATACAGTCATGTTATTGTTATGACTAATCAAATGTTGTTCATACGGTCATGTTATGCCATACCAAGTGTGGTATTACCATTTTCGAAACGTCCAGGAGAGATGAAAGTCGTAGGTGGCTATATAGATAGATAGATAGATATATAGATAGATAGATAGATAGATAGATAGATAGATAGATAGATAGATAGATAGACAGACAGACAGACAGACAGACAGACAGACAGACATACAGATAGATAGATAGATAGATAGATAGATAGATACGCTCAAAGTCGCTGAAGTCCGCTAAGAAATGCTTCGCATTTAAAAATTATTTTGTTCGTCGGTGGGCTCCAGCTGTGTACAAGAACCTATGGTATATAAGCCGCTGACCCGCCAAGCATTACGAAATACTATAGGTGCACATAGATCGAAATTTACCATAATATATTTTCTGTCGCACACCGCACAACGTACATAACGCCAAATTTTTCAAGATAGTTTATATGGTGTTCATATGAAAAGGCTCAATACGCGGAATACGAGCGAGTTACCAAAATTGTGAATAACAATTTTTCTTACCTTGGCGTGAGATCCACCCTATCGAGGATGCCGGATTCTTTCAATAAAGTTTCTTTCTCCTCCTCCTATAATCATCCGCTCTTCGGGTGTCTCGAATTGGGCGTGGGAGCGTACACGCTCACGCGCGCATGTGTGCAGCTTTGTGTTTCTTTTCTATTATCCCTCTATCTTCTTTACACCACCTATCCCCCCCTATGCAGGGACGTGAACCAATTCGTTGTACCAAGTTAACCATTCTGAGTTATCCCTCTCATCCAATTCTCTCCCTCTTCCGTTGTCATCCCTGCAGACGCCCCGCTGTGCAAGGCGAACCAGCACGTAGTGTACGCCGCATCGCGGCACCAGGAGGTCGAAGTGCATTGCGAGGTCGAAGCAGACCCGAGAAACGTCACCTTCGAGTGGCGCTTCAACAGCACTCTGCAGCAGCGGCCCCTCAAGAGCTTCTGGGTGGAGGGCACACGCAGCGTTGCCCGATACATACCTCACAGCCACACCGAGTACGGCACCTTGCTCTGCACTGCATCAAACCGCATAGGAAAGCAGCGACAGCCGTGCCTCTTTCACGTCGTCCAGGCAGGTGGGTTACATAGCCGATAACACGGTCCTTCATTGTAAGTGATATCTAGCCGTGCCTTCGCAAATCAGTGTACTGCTCGGAACATCGTAGAATTCTGCTTTGTATGAAAAAGCTTTATTATTATTATTATTATTATTATTATTATTATTATTTCGTCCGGATGGTATTAGTGGTAGTAGTAGAAGTAGTCCAAAAATATTAGTATTATGTCGTCATCGCAAAGAAGTGGCCCAGAATTTATTTACAACTACTGGTAGCATGAGACAAGCGTTGACCACAGTAATATTTTATTGGTGACGAAATCAAGAGTAGCCTGTGCTAGAAGGTGGAGGCTCTGGATATGCTACTAACTACATGAAGTGTTGAATTTGACGAACTTCGCCACTACCGGAAACAGGATTGATTGCATCGGCTTAATAGAGCTAAAAGACTGCGTAATGAACACAGGGACTTCTAGATCTGATTTTTTGTGCCTTGCTAACCTTCCGGAAAAAAAAAGAACGTTATTTTTCGTCGACGTCATCCATAAGTTTATGCTACGGGTAGACAGACACTATCGACGTATTACTTGCGGGAGCCCTCGTCTGCTGTCATTCGCCCGTGGTGCACGTAAATCGTCGTCAGCGACTCCAAGATTGATTTCTGCGATTTAGGCTGCATGCACATTGCAGGGTTCCCAAGCACAGTGAACTGCGTTTGCACGTCATAGTAATGTGCATTGTAGTGGCGCTTGCTTGCCCATGCTGGGTGACAGACTTTAAAATCAAAATGTGTTAACAGCGTTAACACTGCATACCGAGGAAGTGGAAAATTTGCCTTCTGTGAAATCCCAAACCGTGTGAGTACTCATTTAATGAGTACTCATAAGGTTTGGCCCGTTTTTGAGTTTCAGTAATGAATTATTCAAACTGATTTTTATTACTTGAAAATAAAGAGATTATCACGTTCTTGATTTCCTTCACATCTCTTATGTCATATAATGTATATTGTTCGGTCCTCCAATTGAAACCTTTATATTTTTGTTGTGGCGATTGTGTCGACGCATCTGGAAGCAGGTCCACCGGGGCCTGTGGAGAACTGCTCTATCACGAACCAGACCGAGGGATCTCTGCACCTGGAGTGCCAGGCTGGCTCGGACGGTCACATGCCAGCCCACTTCGTCCTGTCCGTGCACGATGTGCTCACAGCCACTGTCGTCGCTAACTTCACTGCCGATAAACCAGACTTTTGGGTGAGCGCGCTGTTTCACTCAGATAATTATAGTTGCAAGAATTTTTCGTGCTTTCAGCATCACAGATAACTGTTCAACGTGAGAAATATTACAAAAACCTCCATGCTTAAATTATCGTGTGCTCAGCCCACCGACGGTCGCAGTCCGCGCCGAGTGTGCCTGCATGCCACGCAAGCCGAGTGCTAGCTACGAAAGTGGGGCTGGTCAGAGCAAGTAGAGAACTGCATCTCAGATCTAGTAAGGTGAAACCTGGGGAGAGCGAAGGATGCAGACCGCTTTTAACTATAGCGCGAATGGAGATTCGCACACTGCGAATCTCCATTCAACTGCGCGCAACAGTATTTAAGCACCGGAACTTCTCTTCAGTTCAATGTGCAGCATCCTTATATAAGGAGTGACGGTGAACAGTCGCGCTTGGCGTTTTCTTTCGTGAGCAAAAGGGCCTTTGCGTAGTCAACGCGCGCCCTTCGTTCTCTCTCGCAACGCGGTGAGCGATGAGGTAGCGAGCTCTTTCTGCTCGAGTGAAGGTGATCTCTTTCTTGCGCTCAGGCTAATCAACCGTCACGACAGCAGCAGTTGACGAAGCGCACCGTCACGCTGATACCGTAGGGTGATTCGCCCCCTCCAAATAACAACACAGAGAAAAAGAACGCTTCCTTCTTTTAATGGCATGAGCTCTGAATGACACGCTTGTTTATCTTACAGGCATTTCGTTCAAACACTTACTTCCAATTTTCTTAGCATACTGAAAATAGCGTTCTGACAATATAGCTGTTTTGAAATGGATGGTTCAGGTTCATGTGGGAAGTTACATTGAATATTCATTATGCCGCTGCATTGGTTTACTGGTTTATATGTGGGGTTCAACGTTCCAAAACGACTGTATGATTATGCGAGACGCCGTCGTGGAGGGCTCCGCAAATTTTGACAACCTGGGATTCTTTAACGTGCACCGAAATCTGGGCACACGGGCCTACAGAATTTTCGCCTCCATCGAAATTGCAACCGCCACTTCTGGGATGTGATCCCGCGACCTGTGGGTCAGCAGCCCAGTACCGTAGCCACTAGACCACTGGGGTGGAGCTGCATTGATTTACATAAAATAAGAATATATTTCCTGTAACAGAAATTCCCGAAAACCAATTGAATAGGTTCACTGAACGTGGACTGTTTCCTTGTGAGCTGCTGGGATCTTTGCGGCACCTGGTGGAGTAGATGGAAAGCACGGTTTTTCCTTTGCATGGGCTCAGTGATTCGTTAAGGCAGCATGACGAAGTCAAGCTGTACAGCGTGGCACAAGAATGCCGACGTTTCAATGCCACTGCTAGAGATCTAAACTACTGATAATGGTTACCTACAATTTTTTTCTTACGCTCTCTGCCTCCACCAAGGACATTGGTAGCTCCTCAAAACAAAAAGAATCACCTAATGCTGTACTACGCGTCTAATCAAAAAGGCCCCATTATTTTGAGCAATGTTATTGACAAAAATTGCCCCGTATCTGCTTGTTACACTACAAATGTCGTCGAAAGACGATAGAGTAGCGTCTGGAGGAAGTGATCAAAATGTTTATTTGATGTTCTGCGGAAGAAAATCTGTGAATAGTATTCTGGAGTCACTGCACTAGAGTGCCTCGGGCCGGCAGCGGAGGCGAACGAGCGCATCAAATCACGTCACACGTGAGACATGAGTGCTATCTGGTAGTTAACTTGGAAAACGAAGCGAGCGGTGTGTGCACCCGTCTCAGAGGTGATGAGGTGTAGGACGCAAGGCGTTGAGTAGGTGCCTACACTATGTCGTCTAAGAAAAGCATTGGTAACACTTGCATTTTCATGCAAGGGTTGCGTGGTCAGCGCAGCGTCATAAACGCCATGGTCCTTAGAATTACTTATGTATGCCTTTTCTAGCAAATGACGCACATACAGAATATATACGTGTTGTTGTGCTGCCTCGGGTATTCGAAAAAATTGATTTTTAATTGACAAAATCGCGCAAGTAAGAACGCTGAATTTTGAGCATTATTGGTGGATCCTGCAGATGGGGTCGGCCGTTTTGAGTATCGTATGTTGCCTTTTTTTTCAGGGTACCGTTAGGGCAAAGAAACAGACAGCTGTACAGACAGACAAACAGATCAAAATTTTTGCGTCGAAGGTCCCCGAGAAAGACTGTCGTCTTTAAAACTTGCATTATCAATGCACACCTCCGGATATATCTTCATTAGATGTTTCAATTATAAGCTTCTTAAATCCAGATTGGTTCGGTACCCTGCTGTAGAGGCCGCGTTTCAAATGGGCGAAATGAAAAAGAAGGCGGGCTGGCTGAAATTTAGGAGTGCCTTGAGTGCCTAAGATATGGGTTGCAGTCAAAATGAATCCGCAGCCACCAACTGTAACGCCTCTCAAGATTCGCATGACGTAGTATAAATGTCCTGATATAGAAGTTCATTTATTTGTGCCGTTAATCTGTGCTATATATATCGTATTGCACGGTAGAATGAATAAGTGTTCCTTCAGCGCGAACAAAATGGGGCGTAAGTGCTGTACATCTGTCTGTACTATTAAGTCTTGCGCTAGTCCAAGTTCCGCATAGAAGCCGCATGTAGGAGCCAAAGCCTTCTGCAAAGCAGAGCCTTCGAAAAGAAATGTTCGAAGGTGCCTATAGAAAGACAGAAGAGAATGACGTTACCAGCATCTTTGCTGAATGATCGTGTTTTATAGACCATGCCCACTCCCGTGCAAAACGAAACAAATAAACAAACGCAACGTTATCGTACTGACTGATAAGCAACCAGCGCTGACAGGTGTACTGACAATGTAGACTTGGTGTACGTGTGAGAATCTGTTATTCGTGATACATTTTATTTAAAAGTGTTTTTGTCAATAGACTCAGCCTTCCGTGAAGGATCGCTAATATAATTGTCGTAGAATATAGCTGAAAAAATTGTGGGGAAGCTCCATTCAAAGCTACGGGCCTTTCATTCATAGTAAAATCAAAACGACGAGCTCTAATTGGTGGTTTGGAAAAGGGAAACCATGAGCTTTTAACCCAAACAGCTACTTAGGAGTGATGCTGCGTTTTGCATATTATAGAAAGCAAATGAGGCTAAGACACAGCCAATCAATCATACATTTTTCGCTTTACTTTAAAAATATTGGTCGAGCATGTTGCAAAACAGAATTTTTTCGTTAGACTGAAAGTTTAAAGAAAACTACGGGGTACAGATGGAAAACATATGAAACGTGTGGCTTTATAACACCCACGAAGTTGAGGATTTTGCGTTTTGCACGTTTGCTCGATTGCCGGCAACGACCACATTGAATAAGTCCAACTTGTGGAATACAATTTGGCAATCATTTTGAAAGTATCTTTTTTCAAGGTGAAGTGCCCAGCACGCTGACGTGTTTTTCATATTTCCCTGTTTGGAGGCTCATGAGGTGGATGAGTAAGGAAAGAATGCGCTTAGCGGGTGTCACATCTTACTCCTTCCTCCTTTGCTTTACGTTTCTGGAGCGAAAGAAAAGCTTAATGAAGTGCTTGTATTCGTGTTTCTTGCGCTTAGTTCATAATTTCAGCGAGTGAAAAAATTCGCACGCGACTGGCAGTTTGCTGAAAACAGCGCTGTTACGCATTCCTTACAGTCGCCTGTAACTTTAAGCAGCATCATACTACCTCAAGCCAAATTTGTCGCTAGTTATTTGTAATAAACTACCTTCCCCGCCTAGTTTACACTCTGGTCTATAAACTCAGTAGATTTGAAGTCCTGTAATTTATGAATTGTGTTTTATGTCATGAGCTGGTGACAAAGAAAATTCTACTGGAACCCACTCCTCTGCCATTAGAAACATATTTACATAGTGTTCAAGTAAGGTTCAAAGTTTCAAAGTTTTGGCTACTGATACCAGAAATGCATAGTATAAAGCTGATTTCCAATTACTGGAAGAAGAAACGGTCTAGCTAACGTAACTGTTGAACTATTCTACCACTGTAACTTTCGGTAGTGGTAAACACAGCGAGACCTCCATCTGTGAATGAAATTAGTGACGCAGCGAGTTTCATCAAACAGTCATTCACTGTTCGTAAAGCCTACCCATGCTGCGAGTGTTCCCATGTTTTATATTTCGGTGTGAGTGCGGTTTAATTTGGCCTAATAATGGAGGCGGACACCTCATCAAGCCATCTTGAGTAACGGTATACACGAATGAGTGTGCTCACGATTCGCCGGTTCGAAACGCGCGATGCTATGCCTGTATTTTCAAGTTGTGACTGCCAAGAAAGAGAGTTCTAATGACACAATAAATACTTGTGGTTGTATTTGTCTTAACAGGTTCACGACCTTCTTCCGGGTGTAGAGTACTTCCTAGTGATATCGTCTGTGAATGAGCGGGGCCGGAGTCCTGAGCTAACCATTCTGCCTCCAATTATGCCTCTAGTGGGCAAACTCACCAAGTCAAGTAAGATTCAAATTTATAGCATTGTGTGATTGATATGCGAATGGAAGTGAGCTGGTTCGTATGTATTCATCTGAAAAAAACAGTGCTAATTCAAAAACGGACAAGACAACATCGCTAGAGGAGAGCGCCAAACTTTATGTGATGTCTTTTTGGTTTCTATTTAAATCATTGCTGTTTTTCAGGGGCTAAGCTCCTTAGGGTGTGGGTCTGCCCTTCCTCCGTTGTTGTCGCATGTAGCCACCAATGGCACATACCCACTCTAGATCGGCTATGTGCCACAGGCGATGAGAGATGGGAGATGGCGGTACTTGCAGTGTTCACTAGATGGATGCACAGACGGACGCATGGACGGATGGACAGATCGACTAGCTGGTGGACGGAGGGGTGGAAGGACGGGCAGAGCGGGTATGTGCCACAGGCGATGCGAGATGCGTGATTGGGGTACTACAGTGTTCACTAGATGGGCACATGAACGGATGGATGGACTGACAGTTTAGAAGATGTACGAATAGATGAACGGATGCGCGGACGGATGGATGCACAAACGGACAGACAGACGTATGGACGGACTCACGAACGGACGCATGGACAGACGGACGGACGCATGGATGGACGCATGGATGGTCGTGCGGTGGACGAATGCAAGAACGAACGGAAGGTTGGAAGCACGGACGGGCTGAAAGATGCTTCACCCCACTCACCATCACTCACTCCGTGGATAAGCTGTGATTTATTTTTTTTTCAGATGAAGCCTTCAGATATACGTTTGTTTGTCCATTCACATCGAGTAAGCTGTACGTCGATTTTGATCTTAATACCCGTCACATTTGTGTAGTGGTCATAGTGCATGAGTACAGACCCGACGGCCACGGGATTGAATCTTGGCCGCGTAGACTACATTCTCATTAGAGGCCGAAATGCTTGAGCCCCACGTAGTTAGATATTGGTTGCCCGGTAAAGAACACCACGCAGTCGAAAGAATATTTGGAGCCCTCCATTAGGACATATTCATCATCAGATTGTGTTTTCGGGGTTTTAAACTCCAAATATTGGTATCGTTTACTTTCGATGATTGAAATTATCTACGACGTGTTTCAAGTTGGTCGACGCATATATGGGTTATGGCATAGCGCATCGAATGACATATTTTGAATAATCGTACGAAGATAACTTGCTATGCCACAATCACGGCAACTGGGTGCACACAAGAAGATTATGTATGATTGTCAACTCAAGAAACTGCACCAAGCTCAGTGTGTGTCCGTTACTTGATTGTCCGCAGCTGAATGATAGCATTCATATTAAAGCAATGCAGCTCTTTATGTACAACTACGCATTTTAAGCTCCAAATCTACGCGCGCGACTACGAAGTGAGTTATATAGGGTTACGCTATCCGACGGAACATAAATTTGAAGTTCTTCGGGTATTTTCCAACATTAAAGTATTTATTTATTCTGCCATATTCAGTCTCAAAGGTGGTGATATGTTTGCCGCAGGTGTGATAGTTCTGGGAGCGTATCAATCGTTCCAAAGCAGCGTCGTTCTTGGGCATAGTTTCCTGACCAATAATACTCTTGATGCAACTGCATAGCTGACTTTCAGAAAAAGTTGCCTTCAATTCATTGCGTTAGTTTTTGCAAATCTAGGCTGATGGAAACCTTTTTTCCTGATTATTTACGAGATTACGCCTAAGAATGGGAAGTTACGTTTGCATTATGAATAACATTCACACAGGCTAGCGTTAGCAGGCAATATAATAAGTTATTCAACAATATTTGAGCAGACTTACTGTCAGTGTAAATATTTGGTTCTGAGAGCTCATGCGCTATTGCAACATAAACATTTGGGCACGTGATCATTGAATTCGGGTACATCAGTGTTAGCATAATCATGCATGTATTACTCGTCCATTTTATTATCGTGATTTAGGGTAAGACTTAAAATGCACCCCAGCTGCTATAGTGAATTATTTATTGTTGATACCATAGGAAGCCAAGGGACCCGTCACCTCGCAACAGCTGACATCATGGCCCAGCGGACATCGTTTATTTAAGATCTTGGAAATACAGAAACAGCATATTCACGGAGTGAATGATGATGAGTGGGGCGAAGCGTCTGTCAGCCCGTCCGTGCTTGCTTCTGTCCGTTCGCGTGACCATCCGCGCGTCCATGCATGCGCCGTCCATCTTTCCGTGCGTCCATCCGTAAGTCCATCCATCCATCAGTCTGTCCATCTGTCCGTACGTCCATGTACCTATACATTCATCCGTTCGTCTGTCTGCTAGTCTGTCTGTCCATCCGTCTGTGCGTCCATCTAGTGAACACTCCAAGTACTGTCATCTCCCATCTCGCATCCTCTGTGGCACATACCCGCCCTAGAGCAGGTATGTGCCACCGGTAGCTATGTACTACCACATACATACATACAAGGGATGGACAGACCTACGCCTTAAGGAACTTCGCCCCTGAAATGTTCTCTATTGTTGCACGTTTATCCGTGTTATGATCATTACTTACCGTTATCCCGTTGTTAATACAGGCAGCGCAGCGAAAATCTACTCCAACGTCTTGCTCATCGTGGTGGTCGTGTCCGTGTCGCTGCTCTGCCTGTTGCCACTCATTGTGTTTGCGGTGATGAAGCTGAGGAGAAGTGACTTCTTCATGAAGAGTGAGTATACGTTGTCTATAGCAAATCACGTACTTTCACTGGTTAACTCCGCAAACACGGCGTGGTTTTTTTATGCAACATGTTGCCATCTCTCTGCAGCACTTTCACTTCCCAACGTATTTGAAATAAAGATGGGCCAATTTTTTTTCTCGCTAAGAGATTTTCATAAAGAAATTCATTCGCTAGTACACATATTGCTGAGCAAATGGAACATTTCGAGCTAATACGCTGTGTCACGTCAAGATTTCTAGGACATTTGAATATTTTGCAACGATCTCTATGAAACTACGAACCTTAACATACCAAACTGTTCGAATGTTTGGGCAACATGAATTGCTTGTATGCTTATTGTCTAATCTAAAGCACATATTCTTACCACACTAGTTTCTATACAGTAAAAGGATTGCACCCGCTGCAGGGGTGCACTATAGCAGCTTGAGCTGTGCCATGAAGCTTATTTTCTGTGAATTCTTTTCACTGATACAAAAACATCAACTGTAGTGAAATGAAAATAACGAGGCAGACATAAACGTACTCGATCGCTCTCAAGTACACATCTCAAACAACGCTGACCTTGCGAGACAATTCAGTGCGCACACGTACGTAGCTAACCGCAGGAACATTAGGAGGTCGGGCCAAGTTTAGTTATCTCAAACACAGGGGATCAAATAACAGGGGTTTGCACACTTGAGCCAGTTGGTAACATTCATCACCTTTAGGGATGCGAGGTAAACGACATGGAAGAGGGTGCAAATAATTAGCGGAATCGAAGAAAATTGCCGCATCTAAATATCTAGATCGAGTAACTAACTTCTGCACTCAGGGTTTACGCTGGTCATTACGCACTTGGTGTTGTTGTGAGGTGGTTTGGATATTATATTACCCTTGAATTGAAATCTCGTATTGAGTATACGCAGGTGTTTCTTTTTCTGCTCCAGCCATTTAGCGCCGCTCTCAATATATTTCACAAAGGTGAAGTTTCGGGGCACTATGAAAAGACAGAAACTTTGAACCTTTTTAACATTTTGTCTATTCACGAGCTCTAATACGTTCACTATTCCTATGTACATTGTAATACTACCGTTAATTTGCTTGTTTGTTAGTTTTGAACAATACCTAAAAGTTTATCAGTTTTATTACTCCGCAGATTTAATTCTTTCGTCAAGCTCGTTTCTTTCTGCTTATGCTCTTTCTCCACGAAGAAGATAAACCATCTTTTCGTCAACATAAAGTCACACCGATGAGCACTTCATGCAGGGGGAAATTTAGCTGTGCCTACAACAAATAAATTTTTAAGTTCGGTAAACCTTTGTATACAGCAAAACTGTTCAGGGAAATGTGAGGCTAATACATATTAATAAAGTGAACACAAATACCTCTAGGTGCCTATATAAAAAACAGAAAAAAAAGAAGCAAGCGAGCCAAAAAAGAAAACTGTATTCATACTTTCATTTAACTGCTTCAAAAGAAAGCAACCACTTTCGTCCTTACCGAATGTACCAAATGCAAGAATAAAAATAACAACAGCCGCACACAGCAAAAAAAAAGCATACATGGATTGTCGGTTAAGCTTAATTGAGGTTAAAGGCAAGTCGCTCTCTTCCTATAATCAAGCTAGGAAACGGACGGACTCGCACTTCCAAAGGGGGCTTGATTGTTTCCTTTCCATTCGTAAAAACCAGACGCCAGTTGTTTTTTTTTTCTTCAACGGCACCGCCTGAGCGAAACGCTCTCAGATGCTTCATGACTCGCCTTCTGCGAGACGGTGTGCATTGATTAGGAACTCGCAAGCAGGAAACAATCTGGGACCAAAAATAATTAAGTGCAGTAGTTTTACAGCAAATACTTCACAGCAATGTTTTGCGAAGCTTTGTAATTAGGACCCCAATATTTGCTAACCGATTGCAGTCTGAAAGGATTTGTTGTTTTATTACTCATTGTTATTTAAATTAGAAACGTCTTGTTGTATTTTTGGTTTATATGTGGAGCTTAACGTTCGAAAACCACCATATGATTACGAGAGACGCCATAGTGGGTGGTTCCGAGAATTTCGGCCACCTAGTGTTTTTCAACGTGTACCCAAATTGGAACAAACGGACATTTACGCCTCCATCGAAAATGAAGCCGCCGCAGCTGGAATTCAATCGTGCGACCTGCGGGTCAGCAGATGAGTACCTTATCCACGAGACCATCGCGGCAATGCTGTTGTCTTTGTTCTCGCTGTTATCAATGCGGGGCAATATAACCTGGCGCGTACCGGAATACCGGCTTCATAATGCTGCATTAAGTTTAAAAATACATATGAATAAAAAAAACTGATGTTTCGTGAGAGCGTATTTTCAATCTTGCAAAAAAGAGCTTTATTTAGAGTTAATCGTAATCGCTACTCCTGAGAAATAAAGTATAGTGAGAATAAAGAATGCGTATTCAATATCGGTTAATGCTGCCGAGGTATGCAATGTTTAAAGCAATGCTGTTTCTTTCAGCATTATTTCGATTTGCGTTTTATACAAGACAAATTTTTAATCAATGTCGATGCATGCCCGTGTTGTCAAAAACACCCTAATTTATTACTTTGTATGTTTTGCAAAACCTTCACCTTGTTGTTTGTAGTATTTTTCTTTGATCAAATCTTCGTGTATAGCATACTTTTCTTCCGAACTGGAGTAGATAAAGTAAGGCTACTAGCTTGTCGTCTTCTTTTTTTCATTTTGCACTTGTTACGTAGGTCGTGTGGCCAAGAAAGACCGCACAGAGAGTGACACTTGCCCATCTACGACGACCGCCAGTCCTCAAGAGGCGATGCAGCTGCAGATATCATCGGTGTACCCGAAGGAAGACAACCAAGTTTGGATTGTTAAAAAGAGCACCGGCCTATGAGCAAGGTGTGGCGACACTGTCCCCAGCGTGGCACTTCGAGGCTACACGACGGGAGGATTGTACAGGCGGACCAGTGTGTCGCGCGTTGGAGTGTAGTTTAGTCTTCGGTTGACACTGAAGCCTTTGTATTACTGGTCATCAGTGACTGTGATGAATATGTGTTCGAGAAGGAAAGCCAAGTAACCCAAATCTTCAAGTGGGTTCATCGAGTGGTTCGCGTCTGGGAGACAATTTTCACATTTTTTTTTAGATGGGGCACGAAAGGGACGTTTGAACAGCGGCATCGATGTGTTATAGACGCCTAATAGACGGCGCTGAAAACGTAGCTGGCTGTTGTTGGAGGAGTGAATATCAACATGCCAAAATGATGTAGACTTCGTGTTTGTGCCCTGCAAATCCGTTTGGTAATGTGGACCCTCCTTCCAGTGCGCCCATTGCTGCTGTAAATTGAGCCGAGAATTGGCAACAGCGCCCCACTCGTGACGTGCTGAACCTGCTCAAGCTGTTTGTCGTTGAAGGATTGTGAACAATTTTGGACTTTTTCTGAACCGCTTCAATTGGCATGGGTGCTGCATATCCTGCACCCCTTGCGTTCCTGGTTACTGCGGAGACAGCTGTTCGTGTCAAGCAACTCAGTGGCTGTGTCACATTGTGCTCAGATACTTTAAATCCAGTTCCTTGAGCATGTTGCAATACAGTCGACAATTAACTTGCAGATTCTTGTGTCATAAACCACTAGAAACGGCAAAAAAGCGATACTCACGCATCATTGTGGTTTGTTGTATATGCTCGCGTTTTCATATTGCAATGTGGAGAAAGATGGAAAAATCATTGCGTGCTGTTCATTAAGACACATATGCCTATACTGTAATTGTCATCGGAGATTACCCAGACAGCTGTTTGTGTTTAGTTTTTGTTTTCGACCTACTTCATGAATGTTAATATCGAGTTAGGCGTTGCTGATATTCACCTACTACTAAAGATTCCAGTTGGGTTGAATTGCTTGGTGGATTTGTGAAGGTTTGTGGCTCTTCTACTTTTTGAGACAATATTTGTTGGTCAATATTTCATTAGGTACGCTTACGAAAGATTTGAATAGGATGACTTTTATGTGTTTGACACGGATAATAAACATGAATATACGTAAAAGAAGAGTTTCATGTCTAAAACAATAAAAAAATGCATGACAGAAATCAGCTAGTTCTTTTCAAGCAACCATTAGTACATGTCCTACCACATCATTAATAAGAAGTAAATATGTGTAGCGAAGAACATTTGGTGCGATTATACACTTGTTTATTCTAGTCATGTGTGCTTGGTGATCTTAAGATAGTAAAAGCAACATGAATCCTCTTTTTCGTGTTGTTCAAGGGCGTTCATAAGCCACCGCACATAGGGCAAATTTTAGTTTGTTTGACGAGGCGGACATCGCATGTGGAGAACTGAAACACGTATCGAACAGGCGCTAATTTTCGATCATTTTCCTAAGTTTCCCTCATAATCTCAGAAATTAATATTCTTTGTATGTACACGGTCAGCTCCACATATTAATGAACGATTTCAGATCTACCGACCACTTCACCGATACAATTCCAAGTCTAACGCCACTAAAGCTTTTTATGACGCCACATTTTCACGAAGTCGAAAGAATACCTACTACCAATTTGTGGGAGGCTGGCTAATAACATGTGTAAATACCTATCAGAGGCATCCAACTGTTGTACATATTTGAGAAGCATTTAAATTATATATCTCTAGCTTTCCTGTCACGTCTGGGGGAAAAAGTTGGAGGACAGGGGTAACAGCGAGACTGTAGAAGGTACAGGCTGGTTAGAAGATGTAGAATTTAAAAATTAAAGATTTTTGAAAACCATAAGTGGTATCGCCGCTGAATGGAGGCGAAGTTTTGCCACGAACAACAAAAGTTTTGCCGTTATTTTAGCTGCACGACTTAAGGTCGACGCCTAAAAATCGTTGAGGAGATGTTATTTTTATATTACCTGTGATGAGTATTCTCCTCGAACTACTCGTATGCTTGGATCATGTGAGTCTTCATTGCCTGAATAGTGCAGACAACCACTGCTCTGTTCACGATTCAGTGCGACTGGTTTGTTGATGTTTTCGTTGAAGCATGAACAAAAACTGCTCATGTAATTATGAACGCAGTAGTTATCGTTACACGAGTGTGCTTATTGTTATACCGTTTCAGTGACGTGCTACAACTTGCAGAAATAGGTCTCTGCGTCAGTGTCATGAGTGGGCCCAGCTGGAGAAGAGAGTGCAAAAGAAGAGGAGGATGCGTGGACATTAGGTGTGCGTGATGCTATTTAATGTGCTGAATTCACGTGTATGTAATATATATTACATTTGTGCGAGAGACGTGTCCCACCTGTTTGTTGTGATCACCATTTCTTTACTTTCAGTTGTTTTTTTTCGTCAAATTGTTGAAATTAAAGCGCCAGTTGACTGATGTTTCAGTGTACGACTTCTTTTATTCGTTGCCAACACAGGGAAGAGCATTCAGTGTAAGCATAAAAAAGTAAACAGAGCTCAGTAGAAGGACACATGTAAAATAACTTTTTGTTTGTTTTTGCAGCATAAAACAAAACAAGTCCCTAATAATAAGGATTCGGCAGAAGAGTGCGGGATATATGACAGCCCTACACAGCAAGTGAGGCAAAGCGCTGTAGAACACACGGAATACAGACTTTTTCACTTCAACCTTGCGATTTAATTGGCATGCTATAGCAGTAAAGTGAAAAGACTGCGCTCTATAGCTTCTCAGGGTAAAAACTACTGTCTTGTCCCAACAAAAAAGTTTAACGACTGCTGCCTGCTTAAGTTGAACTTCTTGCAGTACATTTAGGGTGCCAAACAAAGCCTCCCAACCATTCACAGAAATTACCACTATCATCACAGTGTCTCAAGCCCACGTTATCACCTATTTTTACTTCTTTTTGTGAAAGGTGCACCAAAAAACGGTTTTGCTTTTCTGAAAAGCGCTCTCCATGTTTTTACGAAGCGCTTGTCTCACATTAGTCGGGTGAGACACGCCGCGTCATTATCGAAAATCTGCGGAGCACGGCGTGTCACTGGACCCAATATTTTGATCAGCGGACTTGTCTTATGGAAAGCTGAAGCTGCGTGCATTAGCGTGTGTCAATTGCATATTTGACACTTATCCTCCAACTCAAGCAAAGTAGAAAAACAGCGTAGGGAGAAGGGGCTTGAGTGCCGCTTGTTCCTACGCCATTGCGCTGAATGAGGCAAAACGTCACAGAATTCTTTGGGTTAGCAGAAATAAAAAGTCTGGAACATGAAATTGATGTACAAAAGCACGCAGTTCAAGCCTTGGAGAAAAAGTACAATTGTTCAAACGTCTGTCCAGTCCACACCATCGTCCAAAAATTCTTCACTGGTTCAAGCTGGATAGCATGACTAAGGGCACCCAAATAACTTCTAACGCTATTTGGGTGCCTTTAATCATGTCTATCCAGCTTGACTTTAAAGAAGATAGCGAGACAAAAATTATGAGGCTAAAATATGCCTGCGCTAGCATCATATACATTCAAAAGAAGCCTAATGTTATTGTTCCGGCAAAATTTCAATTCTTTAGTTATAGATAATATAACTTTATATAGGTAGGGTATGTTAATAGAAAATGCTCTTCTTTTATACACACAGGTTCGTGCGCCATGTTAATAAAAAAGTGTTCCCATTTTGTTTACGTAACACTCTCTACAAGCGTGAAATAAACAGGCATGTACCGAGCTGATATATTAGTTGAGAATGTCTCGAGTTATCCTAACGAAAAATTAACACCAAATGATATTTTTATCCAGTGAAGCCTCGAACCCGTGGAGATGCGATATACTCAAAATTCTTCAAATGTGAAATGTTTCAAAAGCACTACAAAGAGTGTTCACAATGACACTGGTGGCAGTCAGGTTTCCTAAAATAAAAATCTTCAAATGGCCACACTTGCGGCAGGGAAACGAGTGTAGAGAAGCCGCCAGTATATGGACCACACTCTATAGCGACAGCGGAAGACAGAGCCCCAGCCATCGATATGGATCACCGGCGCAACGAGTCGTATTTTATACAGTGGCCATCGAACCTTACAGCTGTACCACTGATGCTCACGTAATCTCTTAAAAAAAACGCCTATCCGCGTCTGGTGCGTGATCTCAATATAAGGGCTGAAGCGATCGCGTACCTTCGAACACACTGCGGCACTTTCTGCGCAGAGCGTCACTAACCATTTTTGAAGGTGAATCTTAAACACACCAAAACAAAGCAATGAACACGCGTGACCCCACCGTGGTGGTCTAGTGGTAAGGTATTCGGCTGCTGACCCACAGGTCGCCGTGTTCGAATCCCGGCTGCGGCGGCTGCATTCCGATGGAGGCGGAAAATGTTGTAGGCCCGTGTGCTCAGATTTCGGTGCACGTTAAAGAACCCCGGCGGTGGTCGAAATTTTCCGGAGCCTCCAACTACTGCGTCTCTCATAATTATATGGCGGTTTGGAAGTTAAACCTCAATATCAATCAATCAATCAATCATCAATCAACGAACACGTGTTACATTGTCATCATTATCCTTATCATCATCATCCTATTGAGAGGCTTGTTCTGCGTACGAATTCTAATGAACGTATCGCGAATTGATTTATAATCAAGCCAACTTTAACGAACTAACTCCATTTTATCCCAGCTAATTTCTTTGTGTCACCCACCAAGCCGGGCTTGTCACTATTCGGATACGAATATGTCGTGATAGTATTTCGGAGATGCTTTTCACGCTGGCCAGCTTTCTTCTTCATTTTCTTCCAACTTGTTTCATAGCAAGCACTTTGAACTCCACTCAATTTATCACAAGGAAATTGTTGTCCCACCATCATTAGAACACATAAGTCTTTTACAGTGAAAGCTGTTATGAGATCATAACGCGGGTCACGCCCAGTGGTCCTGGGCCGCCGCCGCTGTAACGGCCGCCAAAACTGGTGTCCATTACCGCATCGCGCAAAATTAGAAAACAAAAGTTGCAGCATATCAACGGAGTGAATAATGATGAGTGGGGTGAATCGTCCATCAGCCTGTCCGTGCTTCTGTCCGTCCACACGACCATCCGTGCGTTCATTCGTGCATCCGTTCGTGATTCCGTCTCACATCCCCTGTGGCACATACCCGCTCTAGAGCGGTATGTGCTAGTGGTGGCTACTTACTACTACTACTACTACTACTACTACATACAGCAGAGGATATACACACCCACACCTTAAGGAGCTTCGCCCATGAAAAAACCTAGCACCAATGACACAG